TTTTAATGTGAGAGGAACAACAGGAGATGGATTTTTTCACTGGAGGAAGCTTCATTATGGATTATGGGCTCATATTTTAGCCAGAAGCAACGGTTTGAAGTTAAAAACACCTTCATGATGGATTTGTTTCTTACAAACACGCAGCTTTTGTCTTCTCCAGATGTTAACTGATGAACTGGAGTGGTGTGGATTACTTGTGGATTATTGTGATGTTTTTATCAGCTGTTTGGACTCTCATTCTGACGGCACCCATTCACCGCAGAGCATCCACTGGTGAGACAGTGATGTAATGCTACATTTCTCGAAATATGTTCTGATGAAGAAACAAACTCATCTACATCTTGGATGGCTTGGCGGTGAGCAAACTGTCAGCAAATTTTCATTTTTGGGTGAACTATTCCCTTAACATGCATGCACACAAAACAACACAGCAACTGTCTCATGGATACACTGCTATAAACATTACAACTAGATTTAACATGCATATGCACCCACTATCTCACAGAAAATCAGTGTTTATATGGACAGCGCAGACAGATAAAACACCTCGTTTTACTGCGGCTTGCATGCATTGACTGGATGGATCTCTGAATGCAAACGTCTGTTTATGTGCATGCAAGTCAAAGAAACGCGCGTGTTTTTCCGAATCCGTGCACAAATTACTGCATTTCTCTTTATGAAATATACCTGTGGCTTTGGCTTTGCGTGCGTTCATCAGGTTTTTGATCCATGCTGATACTGTCCTGCGATCCGCGCACATTATTTATCATGAGTGATAAACAGCTGACCGGCTCATCCGGGTTCTGCTGCTACGGATGCAACAATATGTCGGTGACTCACTGCTGCCATCTAACAACCTGGAAGGAGAAGTGGTGCATACAAGTTTTGGATACACGTCTGGTCTAGATAGACAATAACAGATAGATAGACAGACAAACAGACACATAAGAATGACAGACAGACCGATCGTTGTGTATGTATGTGTGATAAATAGATACCAACAAACAGGTCTTCAAATATCTACACGAGTAAAATTACTCAAAATATATTTTTTAATTATCTGATTCCAAAAACCTTTAGTAAACGCACAAATGTTTTTGCTTTATTTACAATACCAGTCAAAAGTTTTTGAAAAGTCAGATTTTTAATGTTTTTTTTTAAAGAATTCTCTTCTGCTCACCAAGCCTGCATTTATTTGATCCAAAATACAGCAAAAGCAGTAATATTGTGAAATATTTCTACTATTTAAAATAATTGTTTTCTATTTGAATATATTTTAAAATTTAATTTATTCCCGTGATCAAAGCTGAATTTTCAGCATCATTCCTCCAGTCTTCAGTGTCACATGATCTTCAGAAATCATTCTAATATTCTGATTTGCTGCTGATTTTGATTTTGCTGCTGATTTGCACATTGTAATTTCTAGATTAAACAAAAACAAACCTGATTCATCAGCTGCTTTTCTGGAGCGCTACTGTTGACCAATGACACAATCACAATTACCAGACCACTGAAATGAGGAAACTCACATGACCATCAGGTCAGCATACCTTTGCAAACGTGGGACAAAAAATGACCGGCTCCAAAACAATAGAGATAGCCAAGAGATACAGAAGGCTGCATGAAACACAGCCAAGAGCCACAGGTTACTGCGTACAGTCACTCTAACGCACAAGAACACAAAAACTGAGAATTTACAGCAAACATGGCTGTAAATTCAGTTTATGATTTCACCATGGAGACCCTGGAGAGAAAGGCCGCTCCACTCAGCATCTTCAGAGGAAGAGTTCTTCTCATTGTGAATGTGGCAACCTTCTGAGGGTCCACCATTGAAGAGGTAACTGTAAAGAAGTGATCTTTTTCAACCACTTTCAACAAACATTTAATGTGGTGTAACCATTGATTAAAAACCATTGAACTTATTTTTTTTAAATATTTGTAAAATAAGAAATAAAATAAATGAATAAGTAATATGTTAATATTCTGTACAGTATCACAGGATGAATGCACTCATGGACATGTATGGAGGCCTGAACTTCACTGTGCTTGGATTCCCCTGCAATCAGTTTGGCCTGCAGGCACCTGGTAAGAGCCGTCATCTTATTTACTGGTTCAGTGTTCATGCAACAGTCCATAGAATCTATAGGATTGTACAATATATTTATTAAATAAGGCAGACTGGGGCTAGTTGTCACACAGGGAAACTGTCACATCTGTATGATGGTTTTGAACACCTAGTTATAAAAACCTGATTTTTATTTTCATTTTTTTTCCAAATACACTACTATTATTAATTTATTTACTTTTTTAAAGAAATTAATACTTTTATTCAGCAAGGACGCATTAAATTGCATTATATGACCCTGGAGCACAAAAGCAGTCTTACGTCGCTGGGGTATATTTGTAGCAATAGCCAAAAATACATTGTATGGGTCAAAATTATAGATTTTTCTTTTATGCCAAAAATCAGTAGGACATTAAGTAAAGATCATGTTCCATGAAGATATTTGGTAAATTTCCTACTGTAAATAAATTAAAACTTCATTTTTGATTAGTAATATGCATTGCTAAGAACTTCATTTGGACAACTTTAAAGGTGATTTTCTCAATATTTAGATTTTTTTTTGCACCCTCAGATTCCAGATTTTCAAATGGTTCTATCTCAGCCAAATATTGTCTACCATACATCAAGCTTATTTATTCAGCTTTCAAATGATGTTTAAATCTCAATTTCGGAAAATTTACCCTTATGACTGGTTTTGTGCTCCAGGGTCACATATATATCTATTTCATATAAATGTTGTTCTTTTAAACTTTCTATTCATCAAAGAGTCCTGGAAAAAATATATAAATAAATAAATGAATCACAGTTCCACAAAAATATGAAGCAGCACAACTGTTTCAACATTGATAATAACCAGAAATGTTTCTTGAGCAGCAAAGCAGCATATTAGAATGATTTCTGAAGAATCATGTGACACTGAAGACTGGAGTAATGATGCTGAAAATTCAGCTTTGATCACAGGATTAAATTAGATTTTACAATATATACACGTATAAAATATTTAAAATTGCAATAATATTTCACAATTTTATGGTTTTTACTGTATTTTTGATCAATTAAATGCAGCCTTGGTGAGCAGAGGAGACTTCTTTAAAAATAAAAAAATTAAAAAAAAATTACGAAATCTTACCCCAAACAAACGTTTGAACAGTAGAGTACATTCTGATTTACTTCTGAGCAATTACTTTAAAACTTGAAGATCATCAGTAACATATTTCACCCTATACTCTTCTCCAGAGGAGAACCATGAAACCCTGAATGTTTTGCAGTATGTGAGACCAGGACGAGGGTTCCTCCCAAAGTTCCCCATCTTCAGCAGGATTGAGGTGAACGGCTCTGATGAACATCCTCTATACGCCTACCTGAAGGTACTAAACTCTCACCTCACAGATCAGAACTTGCATAAAAATAAAATAATATACACTTTTCTTCCCCCAGACTCTCATTTTAAATGCATAAATGTGAATGTAGATTTACTGTAAACAATTTCAGTTTAAGTCAGTAGAATTCAGTTCTAGCAAAGGAAACAGCTAGATGCCATGAGCTTGTTCTTCTAGGAAACTCTGCCGTTTGTTAACCCAGTCATTGGAGACATCAGGAAGCTCTACTGGTCTCCCATTAAGGCCAATGACATCAGATGGAACTTCGAGAAGTTTCTCATCACCGCAGACGGAGTTCCTTACAGAAGGTAACAAATTCAGGCTAATTTGCATTTCATGTCCAAAATAAAAGAAGAAGTGTGGAGAGACCCTACACAAATATATGGGCACTGAATGCCATGATTGACCAATCAGAATCAAGTATTTCACAGAGCGATGTTATAAATGAAAACAATTAGCATCTGTAACGCTGCTGAATTGTGTATTTTAGGTATGACCCTCATTGTCCATTTGAAGAGGTGGAGAGGGACATTGCAACACTTCTGCAGGGAAGACATTTATCATAAGCAGCTCTCTGATTATGATTTAGCTCTGGATTGATTCAGATTCAGATTCTTCCTCTTTCCTAGATCCGATCAGATTCAATCAGTCTGTCAATGAGTGAATCTCATGAAACCTGCCATGAAAATGTCTCAAACATATTTCACTTCAAAGTCAATTGAAAAAAATAAGGATATATATATATTTTTTTTTTAATATATAGGATCATTATTACTTTCTCAATTCGGACATAATTTTCAATTGAGACAAATTAAGAACATTTTCCCCCAAATTGTTGTAATTTCAAAATAATTATATATTATTTAAATTGTAAACAAATTTATACACGGCGGTATTATTTGTTATATTTATGCTGATTTAATAATGATAATAATAATAATAATAAATATTTGGCAGAATGTGTAATTGTCATAAAAATAAATTGCACAAAATTTTTAATAGTCCTAAAATTGGCTTCATTTTCTTTCCAAAATTAGAATGAATTTTTCTTTTATTGTAATTACAAAATAATTATATATTATTTAAATTGTAAACTAATTTATACACTGCGGTGTTATTTGTTATATTTATGCTGATTTAATAATAATAATAATAATAAAAAATATTTGGCAGAATGTGTAATTGTCATAAAAATAAATTGCACACAAATTTTAATAGTCCTAAAATTGTCTTAAGTTTCTTTCTAAAATTAGAATTAATTTTTCTTTTATTGTAATTTCAAAATAATTATATATTATTTAAATTGTAAAGAATTTATACATTGTGGTATTATTTGTTATATTTATGTTGATTTAATAAAAAATAAAAGATTTGGCAGAATGTGTGTAATTGTCATGAAAATAAATTAAACAAAAAATTTAATATTCCTACAATAGGCTTCAAGTTTTTTTTTAAATTTATATTTAAATTTATTTTATTGTAATTCCAAAATAATTATACATTATTTACAAAAAACAAAACAACAACAAACAACAACAAAAAACAAACAAACAAACATTGTGGTATTATTTGTTATATTTATGCTTATTTAATTAAAAATTATAATAATAAAATGGAAGAATATGTGCAGTTGTCATGAATAGAAATTTGAAAAATGAATAGTCCTAAAACAGGCTTAATTTTCTTTTTTTTTAATTATAATTATTTGTTTTTCTTTTGATTTTAGGGTGAAATATTACTTGATTATTTCTTTCTTTCTTTTTTAATGTTTCATGAGATTCATCCCTCCACAGTCAGACTTATCAAATTGGATCTGAATTCTGCACAGAATTCAAAATTCTAAACCTCTCAGAGTTCCATCTCTTCAGCCGCATTATGGGTCTACAGAAAGGCTTTAGGTTGTGATTCTGGACCAATCTGCAATCTGTTTTTTCTCTAAAGCATGTCTTCTCCAGTGCGGCGGTACAGTGACGATCCCTCAGGAAATGCCGTCCGGCAGCTGAGCTGGATCTGATGGGGAAGAGTGGATCTGATCTTTAGTGCATTCACTCAGATCTGCTCCTGACCCGAGACGCCCGCTGAGACCCGAGACCCCGCAAACACTGTTACCATGATAACTGCAAGAACAGTAAAGATGTGTTTAACTCTACAGGTGTACCGCTGATTTATTTGGATGCTGAAACTCATTCATATAGCACAATTAAAGAAAGTTTAAATGTGAAACTAAAATAAATTATTAAACTGAGACCTGCCCAATAGCCAAAATAAATAAATAAATATTTGTAATTTTTTGATTAATTTTTATAAATACATTTTCTCAGCACAGTTAAAGAAAGCATAAATGTGAAAGTAAAATAAGTAATTAAATTGAGGCCTGTCCAATAGCAAAAAAATAAAAATAAATTTTTTTAAATTTAACCTTTAAAATATTTTTAAATAAATAAATAAATTCTCTCTCTCTCTCTCTCTCTCATACTCTCTGATATAGCAACATTATTATTATTATTATTATTATTATTATGTTTCATGAGATCCATCCACAGACATTAAATTGATCTGAAATCTTCACATTTAAATGAATGAATGATAATAAAGCAGACATATAATTTTTAGGTGAACTATTAATTTAAGAGATAAAATCCCATTCTGTGTAAGAATATATAATTTTTATTTTAGCATAAATATTTACTGCATTCTGACATTATTTTCAAATATTGAACGAGCCAGAATAATTAAATAGGATCTAATTTCTGAATTCTGAACTCGAAATAAATAAGAAAAAGGCAAATAAATTATATAAAAAAAAAAAGGTGAACTTCTCCTTTAAGAGTTTTGAGGTAAAGGCATTTTTCTCCATTAGATGTCAGTGTTGTACAGTCAGACTACAGCACTACTTTAAACAGGTTAACAAACAGATTCATTTATTTAAACAGACACTTTTCAAATCAGGACAGAAAATCTAATAGCATTTATAATGATAATTAGAAGTAAATCTTTCAAATGTGTAGCAGCAGGTGTGTAGAATACAGTCATTCTCTTACTGTAATTATAGACTGTAAAATAGAGTTGGTTACAGACTGTAGAATTCATACTACACGTGAAGCATGAAATCTGGATTGTGGCCTTTGCTCGGGCTGCTGCTCTCCTCAGAGACAGACGCCTGATTTTCTGCTTTCTTAATTGCATCTGACTGTCGTTTTGAGCCGCTTATAATGAGCCGCTCACTAAAGCACATGTTTGAGATGTTTCTCCAGTCATTTGCATGCTGGCAGGGAAATGTGTGGAATTGCATGAAATGTAATTGTTCTCTTTGGTAATGGTGAAATATCTCAATTGAACTGAAACGACTGTAATTGCTTCATATGCCATCATGCAGGTCAGACAGCTCTGAATATTGGACCTGAACTCGTGCGCTGTCATAATTTCTGTCTTTAATTAAGGCTTTTGAAAGCTGGCAGTGGTTCATTATGGCTAAACTGTGTGTTTAGTGACAACATGGGAGTGTAGATTATAGATGTGCAGTAAAACAGGGTTATTATACTTAGCTAAAAAAAACCCCACAAATATACATTTTTTGTTACTTGAAATAAATGTTAAATGAAGTAAAAAAAGATAGATAGATAGACAGATAGATAGATATAAAAACATTATTTTATATCAGGTAGTTGACAAAGCAGAATTTCTTATTTTCATTTAAGTACAAAAACTAACTAATAATAAACTGAAACAAAATGACTAAAACTTTAACTAAAATTAAATTGAAAACATAAAATATAAAAATAAAATCTAATGCAAAATATTGTCCAAAATATAAAAGTATGTCAATTATATTAACATAACACTACAGTAAAATCACAAACAATAATTGGAATATATAAATCAAATAACCATATGCTATAATTCCATATGTTATAATTAATTTCTCATAAACAAAAGTTTAATTATTTTCATTTTTATACATTTTATATATTTAATGAGTCAAGTTGTGAAAATGTGCCGTTTTAGTCTCATACAATCTCATATAATCACGCTAAACATAAATCATGTTATACTTTTATTCAAAACAGTGTGTATTTAAACATGTATTCCATATTTCCATTATCATGATTTTGACTTTTTACAAACTGAGGGATGAATTGAAATTGTTTTCTGTGCTAACTGACTTCACGTCCCAAGTAGGCTTTCTTAGTAAAATGTCATTGCAAATATCTAATTTTCTAGCAATTATTTTAACAGTTTTGTGCTTCATTTGTCATCTCAGGCAGTAAATAAAACATGGCAGGAAGGTTGTTATCAAGCCATCAGAGCGGCTGTAGTGACCACAATAGCAGGCTCCCATTTATCAGCCTGAGTTCCAGCGATGGGAGACAGATTTATATCCTGGACATCAGTCCTGCTCCTCACTGTATCATCAACACACACACTACAAAGAGTTATAACCACATCTGACACACACACACACACACACACACACACACCAGAGCCAACGAGCAATCCTCACGCCTGTCATGTGATTTATGATTTCAGAGCTGCCAGTTCAGCCGGAATAATAGATATACTGTGTGTTTTATCACAGAAAAAAAGATAACACATAACATGCACCACCACAACAAAAATATATGGATATATACTGGAAAATAATGCAATATGAAATATTACATTTCCTTTTGGGAAACTAGTGTTTATATTACATATTGATAGGCCTACATATAAAAAAATTACATATACATTTACATTTTTACATGTAATAAGTGTATTGAAGCACTTAATTTCTCAAGATTTTTTAATGCTTGGGTTCACATAAAGTCCTATAATATAACTGTTTACTGTAAAAGTGTTTACTGAAAACAAATATATTATATTTATAATATATACAATATTTACATTATATTATTATATATAATAATTTTATTAAAACACATAAATATATTAAAATTTTATATTTTTTAGACAATTGGATGTCTTGTTAAAGTCATTTGATATTTATAACTTAATCTTTGTTAATGCTTTATGTGCTATATATAATATGTGCTTTATGTGCTAATATGTGCTATTCATTTTGTGTGCTATAGATAAATACAAATACATCAAAATATATTTTTTGAGTACATATATTACACATACATGTTTCCATATAAATATGAATATATATATATAGTACATATATGTTCAAATATATTTGCACACAAAAGTATCATATTTGATTACATTTACATCTATATATTATAAATGATATTATTCAATATAAAATTACATCCATTGTGATAAGTAAATGTATTGTGACATATTTTTCAATATATGAAAATCTGAAATTTGCTAAGTATTATTCAATATATTAACACAATATATTATTCATTATATGTTCAATATACAATACGTAATTTAATATATAGATTGTTAAGATTTTTTTTTTTATGGACTTGCTTGAAGGGACTTATATATAATGACATTCAGACATTTTAAAGTGTGACTTCAGCATCTAAATGCTGTATTTTGCAATGATTTGCTTTGCAGAGTCATTTGTAGATGTGCATGTAATGCGTTTCACATATTAAAAAAGCCTTGTAGCAGAAAGTGAAGGAACCTGTAAAGCCGAATCTCTGTGAGAGCTAAAAACCCAGTGAAGTTCATTCATCATCCATGCTGCTCCTTACATTACCATTGATCTACACTCAGGATAAAAGTAACATGCTGTTATTGTTATATCCCAGCAAGCAATTTCCTCGGGGTGATGGAGTACAGGCTCCGTCTGCCCTGCCGCGGTCACACACTCGCAGTCTGTCTTCCTGTCAATAACATGGCACTTGTGCAAATCACGGATCAAT